GAACCTTTCTGACAAAATGTTCAGTAGGATATATCAAGACCCTTGAAAGAAACTCCAACCTTTGCCCCACTTATTTTACTTCCAGGAATTTACGCTAAGGAAACAATAGGAGACGCAGGCAGTGACCCTTCACAAGGATGTGAGTTGATGCACTATTTATAACAGCCAAGGAGGGATAGTAGTCTGAATGTACACAGCTAAAGAATGGTTACATAAATCAGGGTATACCGTACAATAGAAAATCCTGCAGCTGTTTTAGAAACATATCAAAATCTATTTAATGACATCAGAAAATGCCTTATTATATTTAGTGGGGGAGAAAGCTATTAACTGTGAATATAGTATTATCTCCCCTACCCACAAATAAAAGTGACTAAGAATATGCCCAAGATGTTAACAGTGATTATCAGGAATATAAATTATATATGATTTTATTACTCTCTTTTTTGCTTTTTGGTCACTTTCAGTTTTATGCAAAGCCATCTGTAGTTTTCATGATCACAATTTTAAGAGATTAGCTTTCTTCTTAAAGGTCAACTTCCTCCTCCATTTCCTACCAACTCCATGTCTCCAGTATGGAGACCAGAGAGGGTCTGCCAGACCCATCATCGGATTGGGATCCTGCCTGGGTAGCCCTGCCCACAATACGGGAGGCATGCCCTGGCTGGTGCAGCAGAAGTTCCATCATGCAAGTGAGTCACCACAGAAGGGTGTCAAGCTGATGATATTGCTACACACTGTACTTGAACTATCGGCCACAACCCAGTATGCTGCCAAGCTTTTTAGCCTTATCTCCCTAAACCGTTATTCTTTCACTGTCCAGTGAATGTCAGAGGGACTGACTGGGACTGTCTTGACTCCTATTCAGGACACTGTGGGCCAGCAAACTAGAGCTGTTGCTAGCCTCCCCGTTGAATCCAATCTTGACCAGCAAATAGTCCTTCCATGCTAAAGTTTAAGCTGTTATTGTTGCTGTAGTCAGGCCTCCATGGCAGGAGCCCTGGAATATTTAGTGTGAAAGGTGAGCTGGGGACATTCAGCTCACATACTCCCAGCTGGACTGGGAGAGTTGTAGAGAGGCCTTTAGGCATCATCTAAAGTTATAAATTAATTTTCTTTTGCTTTAATTCTTCTTGGCCTAATTAGTGGGAAAGAAGTTGCAAATTCCATATTAGAGGTGTTAGAGCCAAGAGTAAAATTGGCCACTATTTGTTTTGTTTTGAAAAAATTTTTTTTTTGGTGGGGGGTGAGATATTTTGGCTGCTATTCTTAGTTTTAAGAAAGTGATAGCCAGACATCTCTGCAGTGAGAGGAGAATTCATGAAAATACAAAGAGTCCTGGGCCATTATCATCATCCCTGTTCATCTTCTATCTCACGTGTGTGTTCTGTGAGTTGCATCATAACTGAACTATAGCATCTCCGTTTTCCCGGAGAAGCATGTGCACATTTCTGTCTCTGTAGGAATCATGGTATATATATAAATGTGTGGTAGTATTGTTGATAGTGAGGTTTATTGACATGACTCTGAAGCACAACTAAACTATAGGTATAATTCCTTTAGCAGTTCAAAAAAATCATAGAAATTCTACAGAGCGTGCATTTCATTGTTACACTAATTCACACATAATGGTAAAAAATTTTCAATTATGGTCATTTTGTAGGAAATAAATGTTACTGCTGTGACAAAAATAAGAACACATGAAATTCTCTTGTTAAAAATTGAAATTAAATGCTAGGGCAATTGTCATAGGACTGAAGAGTACATTGTTATAATAGTTACAAATATCCTACATTCCAGCTGCAGCCCCAGATCACTTCAGCCATGTACTACTGGCCAAGAACCACTTAGATACCTGAGGAAGTGAGAAAACATTCAGAACCCACATTGTGCTCATAGAATATGCTCCCAACTATCCCTTTAGCCAAAAGCATAATTCTTAGTACACATGGAATAGGAAGTTGGAGATGTTTCCTACTTATGAAAGCCATTAAAAAAAATAAGTTACAAGGACTTGGTAATTGTCCTGTGGTAACCACTGACCAAGGGAACAGATTAGTCCAGGCCTCTGGGTCTTGGTTGTTCTCTTGAACCTCCAAATTGTCCCTGGTCAGACTTGGGCTCTTAGGTTGGGCAGCAGTTCAGTAGTTCTGGCCAGAACTTGCCTGCTAGGTCATTATCTGGTTGGGCAGTGTGGCGCAAGGTTTGAGAAAGTGAGGCCTTTCTTACCAGAAACAGCTAAAGATAAAACTGGAGAAATAAGGCAATACCTCTCCCCAGAATCGAGGTGAGTCAGGTGGGAGTGGGGATTAAACTAGTAATAGAATAACTTGTTTCTCAGCTATTGAATCTTACTGTGTTCTTTCAAGTTTTTTATTTGTCTTAATCTGTCCCATTTTGTCAAATGTATTTTAAGTTTTTGAAGTCAGAGACCTTGGCAAGTTCCATGTTATAGTCTTGATCATACGAGGTACTCAACGACTAGTTTTTGCCAAATTGAGAAAAGATTTTTAAAAAACAGTTATACCCTTTGAATTTGATTTCTTCTCTTCTAGAAATTCTATCTGTTCTATAAATCTACCAGACAGAAGACTGGAGGCAGAATTGGAGATTTCACTGGAATTTACAGTGTGTTGAGTCTTATTGAGTCTGTCTGTTGTATTCCGATTTTCCCTTGCAAATATGGTAGGCATCGAAAGGAAACTCATAAATCAGTGGCTGGGAAGATTTCTATTGCTATTGCTGGGTCTATAAAGAAGCTTGGCACAGCCTAGGAGAACAGAGAAAGTCCTAGTATTCCAGAGAGAGTGCGCTGGCAGCAGGAGCCCTGGGCTTGGAGTCAGGGGGTTGAGGTTTAAACCTTGGCCCTGTCACTTACATGCTGATATCCTCAGGCATGCCTCAGCTTAGCCCAAGTTTCCACACTTGAGAAAAGGAAATTAAAACAGTGCCTGCTTGTGGTTTCGTTGGGTGGGTTAAATAAGTTTCATTAATTTACTCACCCAACATTCATTTACTGAATACCTACAGGCACTAGTTTAGACACTGGAGGTATAGCAATAAATAAAATGGACTAAAGTCCTTGCCCTAATGGAATTTATATTTCTAGAAATAAAATATACATAACAGCATTTAATGTTTAATGCTGTTAGGCTGAGGATATTTGATGAACTCACATAATGGGTTTATACACTGTATTTCCGTAGGTGTTTATGTTATGACAATAGGTCATTGGGGCCATTCTTGGGTCATACGTCTGAACTGGTATAACTTTAGGGAAGTTCCATTAAGTAGGACATGTATGTGTTCGTTTTAACTCCTAGTACACTTAGGAAGTCTGTTCTCTTTGAATTGGGTTTCTATCATTCTTACCTCCAAAAGGGCTTGTCCAAGCAATCCAGCAGTCACTAAGATTCAGAGGCTGCAAGCGATGTGGCCGATGGTGTCCACATTTTCTCAGTCACCTGTGTTTGCACTATCAATGACTTCATATGACTTTAGAGAGTTGCTAAGGTGTTTGTGTAATTTGTGGAAATAAGATTTTACTTTTCTTTCTCTTCCCCCCCCCCCCAATCACCTCCCCCCTGGTCCCCTT